TTTTTAAAAAGCCTCCATTCAGAATCCATTTAAAATTTAAACTTTTCATTTTATTTTAAAGTGACAGATCTTATTTTTTATAGATAAGAAAAACAACTTGATGAATAAATTTAAAAAATCAGTGTTTACTTACTTTCTTTTAGGTAAGATGAAAGACTGTGAGTTAAGTCATTGGGTTTGAGGAAACAGGAGTCTAGAAATAAGAGACACATGTTTTCTTGAATTTTGCAAACAAAACAGATTGAAAAGAAACAACATCTTAGTTAAATTTCTAAAACATTAGTGAAATGGAACACATATATTTTGAAATGTTGCCTAGAATTTTAAAATAAGAAATTTTAATTTATAATCTCCCACTGAGCTGATCGTGATCCGTTGTTGTCGCTGTTAAGATGCCATTGAGTCATCGTGACCCTACGCACAGCAAAATGCAACACTGCCTTGTCCTGCACTATCCCCACAGTCAATGCTGTGTCAGAGTCCATCTGTATCTATATCTTGGAAAACAGATAAGTAATATACAGTAGATGAAAACATTTAATACTGTGTAGCAAGCAGAAGTAATGAATTAGATGTATGTAAAGCTAGGACAAATCTTAAACAAATACTGAGTAAAGAATGAGAACTTTAGACCTAAAAATTTAAATAAAATTCGAGCATTAACATACATGACATCTTTTACAAGGCTACACATATATTTACAAAATTTACATCCATATATTAAATATCTGTGGGGAAATGGGAGTGTAGATTAGTGAAGAATGAGGATAATACAACAAAATATAGCATAACACATTAGACTAAAGAATAAGGGCCTCCCCTAAACAATGGTGATCATGGTGGATGATTAACCTTGTATCTGAGGTCAAGATGAAAGCAGTGTCATGTTTATTATCCTAATTTATTCTTCAAGAAAGGGCATACTTATAAAACACAGCATAGTGGCACAGAGTAAATGATTACTAAATTAAAAGATACTTATACTCTGATCCAGCACGTAGAACTTCAAATGTGTTGTTTCCTATATTTTCTGGAACCTCTGTTAGACTTAAAAATAATTTTCCAAACCTGGATATGATAAAAATAACCTGGAGCACTTCTCAAAATATACAGATTCTTGAGATGGAAGATCTTTAAGTAGTGAGTTAGAATCCCTTGGGGGGTGGGCCTAGGAATTTTTTTTTTTAAAGAAGTTATTTGGTGATCCAGTCACAGCTAGCTTATAGGCTTTTAGGAATCACTGATCAAAACCAACCTAAAAACCCACACAGCTGAGAGTCTAATTAGTCCCAAGCAGCTCCTGCTTTGAAACCTTAATTATGTGCCCATGTGTAAGGCATTAACAATGTACAGTGCACAGTATTAATTGAAAAGACATGTTCCTGCCCTAAAGACACAACCAACCTCAAACAAAAACCAAGTTAGACACTTGGTAAATTAATAGCCACAATATTTTATTATTTATATCCACCTTTTGTTTCTGTTCTGTTCCTACCCGAGCCTGTTTCAAATCATCAATGGTCTGTCTCTCCCTCTCTTCTCTAGCATGGCTTCCTTTCTGTCCTTGGCCTTATCAACGCAGTTACAGGGATTTTTCTCCTAAACCTCCTTGATGTCTCAGTATGGTCTACTTTCCTAACTGCAAGAGGCAGCCTATACTTTGTGGCTTTGAGCATTTCTAACATACTCTTCTTCTCTAACTGACGACACCATCATTCTTAATTACTGAACTCTGCTGTAACAACAGTATCACACAGACTTACCATGGCACTGAAATGTCATTTTAGAAAATCTCTTCTGACTTTCAACTTTCTACAGTTCTCAGTTCTAGAGATAAGTTTTGATTTAACAAGATTTATGAGGGACTGATCCTTGGAGAAGGACATCAAGCTCGGAAGAGTGGAGGGATAGCACAGGAGAGGAAGACCCCAGATAAAATGGATTGATACAGTGACTGTGGCAATGGGGATTGGTGTGTTGGAGTCAGTGAGACTGGCTCAGGACAGGGCAGGATTCAGAGCTGTTGTACATATGGTGGTGAGTCATAGAAGACTCAACAGCACGTAACAACAACAACAACATGAGATACGGGAACTCCAGTTCTTGTTAACTTGTCTTGGAAATGATTCAAGTTCATGGTGCCCCTCATGTGTGGAGCAGAACTGCTCCCTGGGGTTTTCAAGGTTGTAACCTTTGCAAAGCAGTTTGCCAGGTCTTCCTAGGCATCTCTGGATGGGTTTGAAGTGCCAATCATTTGGTTAGTAGTTGAGCACTGAACAATCTGTCCCATCAGTGACAGTATCTATGCTGTAATCTCATAGATCATAAATGTATTATATCTAGACATGTAGAAAATCAAAGGTCAGAAGAGATTTTTTAAAAAAATGTCACTTGAGTGCCATACTAAGTCTGTGTTATATTCTTGTTCATTCGAGTTCAATAGCGAAGAAAGATGTGAAGTTGGTGAGTGAGGAGGGTGCTTTGTAATTACTGTGTATGGGCCCTCTGAGCCTAGGACTCCAGCTCTCACTCCTGTGGAAATGCACTCCACATGAAGGGTATTCTTAGAGAAGAAACAGGCAGGGGCACTCAGGTCTTCATACTCCATGTGCACTTTTATTTAAAAGCATATCACAAAAGGATTCTAAAGGTTTCGGGGACAGATTGTTCCTTGGCTTCTCAGGAAAGCATCAAGTTGTAATGGAAAAGGCAGTCTAGTTCCTCTTGACTTTTCCTAAAGGCAGCATATTCCCGTTAATATCTCCTACAGGAGATCTTCCTAGTCATCCATAAACGGCTCATCTAACTAAGCAGGAGGCCGCAAATCTTTAGTGGTGTCATTTTATGGCACTATCTCTTTGCTTCCGGCCTTGCCTGAAAAGAGTTACAGGCTGGATTATAATTAAGATGGACAGTTGTAAGAATTATGCAACACTCTTTAGGGTAAATGTAAACACTGGTAGGCAGTGGTTCTCAGACACTAGTAGGCTTGAGAATGAGGTGGGAGGAGGCGGCAGTTTTGCTAAAAAGGCAACATTTTGTTCTAACCTTTCAACAGCCTACATGAAAATTACTGGGCTAAAACAGAAGTAATAAACTGTGAATAGAAATTCATGATTATAAACAACAAAACAAAGATAGACATTAAAGTTTTATTTATAAAGTCTGAGTAAGTCAATGTTTCATACAATAAATGTGTGCTCTGTGTGTGTCTCTATTTTCACTTGACTTCTATCCTTATTAGGCAAACTGCTGGTGCAGCTGGTTTGATCTCAGCTACGAATGGAAAGGTTGATGGTTTAAACCCACCAGATGCTCAGTGAGTAAGATATACTTCTGTAAAGATTTATGACCTTGGACACCTGATGGGGCAACTCTACTGCCCTTAGGGTTGCTATGGGTTGGAATCAGCTCGGCAGGAATGGGTTTGGTGTTTTGGTTTCTAAACTTTTTAGAAACTCTATTAGGTTAGGAAAAGGAGTATTAACACAAGGAAATGATAGTAATTGATTAGCTAATATACATAACAGTAAAGAAAGATGAACTTGTTTTGCTCCTTATCATCAAGAAAATTGCTAGCAATTAAGAATCGTTAGAATCAACTCATAAATGACCTTCCAGCAAATTTTCAGAAGCAATAAACTGCACAGGAGCAGACTGCCCACCTTTCTCTCACAGAGCAGCTGGTGGACCTGTATCATGCTCAACGATTAATTTGGTTGGGGTGGAGTAACTAGGGAGAAGCATGGTCCTACCTGGTAGGTTCAGTTCTTCTAATTCAATCACTGAGCGATTACGGCTATAATAGTCTTTCATCAGCTTCTGCAGGTCTTCGGGTGTTCCTGGCTTGGGTTCTGATTTTGCTAGTATGTCAGTAATTTTCTTCTAAGATATAAAAAGTAAGAAGAATGGGGAGATAGATTTTAGAATGAGATTTGACTGAGATTGCTTTAAACTGCACACAGCTTTTGGTAACAGTCTGACATGAATGTGATTTCTAATCAATACATATGAGGATAACCATTGCTTTGAAAAATCAACAGAAGACTTATAGATTTTTTCCAACTCCTGGTCCTCTGACTTCTGGGAGAACAAAAATTCCTAAAGGAGCTTTTAGAAAAAAGATAATACTTTCTGTTAAAGGTTAAGAAATCTTATTTTTTTGGAAAATATTTTTAGGATCTCTTTAAGGCCTAGATGATTTGTATTTCTGGAAGAGTGAACTTTGATAATTTCTTGCCCAGTGGTTTTTGAGGGGCTGAGTCTCATTTTGGATTTCTGAGATTAGAGTAAAATTTGTAAGACTAATCCTTCAAATTGTGGTGCTGGGAAAGAGTCTTGAACATACCATGGAAGAAAACAAATAGGACTGGAGAGTGTGAAATCAAGATTCTCCTTGGAGGCTAGGATTATGAAGCCCCATCTCACATACTTTGAGTACATGGCCAGAAGAGACTGGTCCTTGAAGAAGGACATCATGCTGGGAAGGATGGAGGGACAGCCGAGGAGAGGAAGACCCAGGATGATATGTATTGATATGGATTGTCTCAGGACATGGCAGGCTTCAGAGATGCTGTACACAGGGTCGCTATGAGTTGCAGGTGACTCGATGGCACATAACAACAACAACAACAACAACAACAACAACACAAGAATCTCAACAGAGGAACCTACTGAAAATGGTTTTAGACTCCCACTTTCCAAGCTTTTGTAGGATGGCCTTAGAGTAATTGGTAGAAAGCATAACATATATTACAGGCAATAATTTCCAATGTCTATTTTTATTCTGACTCATTTGTGTTTTAATTATTCAGTGTGTGCAATGTAGAAACACACAGTGTTGATTTAATTTTCATCATAAACTCCCTTCACACTTCTTTACAATGTTTCACTAAAGACACAGAGGGTTTTTTTTCCTCTCTTCCTCTCATCCCAGTATTTTTCTTCTTTCCATTATATTCTCATTTCTACAGTACTGCCAAGAATGGTCAAGGTTCTGTTAAGTGAATTAACTTTTTTAACATATGCCATCTGTGGGTATATTTTAGTGTAGCCTCAGTTAAGGCTAAACTATCTAGTGAGGGTTCTGACCTTGAACCACCAAGAAGCTAGTACTCCTGAAGACCATTAGTGTGCAAACTATCAAAGAGAAGTTAAAGTCACCTCTTTAAGGACTTGCCAAACCTCAGCCAATTTGGCATCTCTCATCTTCCTATTTGGCCATTTTCAAGAAAAGAAAACATATTCATATATACTTTGAGTTTTCTAAAAGCTTGCTGTTAAGTAATTGGGTTGAGTCCATCTTCTTTCCTCTAATCCCAATCATATTTCCTCTGCTGACTTCAGCATTAGACCCTTCTTGGCAAGCAGAGAATTACACTGCTGTTTTCACAACTCTAGTGCAAGGTCAAACTCAGCCATGTTTTCTTCAAGGCTGCGATGGAAGAAAGTTTGTATTGGAGCAACAGTCTTCCCTTTGCTCACAGGAAAGTTCCGAAAGGGAAAGGGAACTTTTTGTCTTAAATTATAGCTCTAAATTAGAGTCAGAAATATCATATTCTTATACTACCTTCATCTACTTACTATTTTCTTTTAATTATTACTTGAAAGTATAAGATCTTCAAAGACTATAATGGCTAGGAAAGGGAGGTTGGTAAATTGCTTAGACCTCTTTTTAAAAAATTATTATTAATTTTAATGAAAGTTTACAGAGACTCAGATCTTCCATTCATTCACTGTTGCACATTTTCCCCTACCCCTACCACCCGCCCCTATTTGGTCTTTTTTTTGAAAAGTAAAAGAAAAATTATTTCATTGTTATACAATTCCTCCCCCCAAGTCCACTCTACTGTGTAGCTTTTATTATGGACTCCTGTCATGACAATAATACCTAACAATATATACCTTTTAAACAGTTCTCTCCCTCATCTGTTTCAATGCAGTATACATTATTTATCCACTCTTTCTCAGTCTTCCCTCAACCCCCATGTCAGTCCCATTTTACAACAGTAGCCCTAGGCAATATTTGTCCTTGTGTGACTGAGATATTTTACTCAGCATAATGTCCTCCAGGGTCACCCATGTATTGTAGTTTTATGAGCCCCTTGTTTTTCAATGCAGTGTAGTATTCCATTGTGTGAATATACCATAGCTTCTCTATCCATTCGTTTGTTGATGGGTACTTAGGTTGTTTCCAACTCTTTGCTATTGTGAACAAAGCTGCAATAAACATGGGTGTACATATATCTGCTTGGATGACGGTTATGGTCTCTTTAGTGTATATTTCCAGTAGTGGAACTGCTGGGCCAAATGGTATTTCTATTTGCAACTTTTTGAGAAAGCGTCATACAGCCTTCCATAGTGGTTTCACCAATTTATACTCCCACCAACAGTGAAAAAGGGTTCCAGTTTCTACACAACCATGCCAGCATTTGATGTTTGCTCTTCTGTTAAATTTTGCTAGTCTTACTCGGGTGAGATGATATCTCATAGTTGTTTTGATTTGCATCTCTTTTAGAGCTGGGGATTTTGAACATTTCTTCATGTGCTTGTTGGCCATCTGAATGTCTTTGGTAAAGTGTCTGTTCATATCCTGTGCCCATTTTTCAATTTGATTATTTACCTTTACCTTGTCGTGGTGCTCAAGTATTTTATAAATTCTAAATGTAAGTCCCTTGTCTAACATGTCATTACCATATATTTTTTCCCCCAATCTGAAGCTTCCCCTTTTACCCTGCTGGAGAAGTTTTTGGATGTGCATAGGGATTTGATTCTTAGGAGGTCTCATACATCTATTTTATCCTCTCCTGGTTGTAGATTTTCCAGGATGCTTGGAAGACTGTCTATGTTGTGGATTAGGACTTCTAGAGTTCTTCCAAACTCTTCTTTAATGAAGTTTAAAGTTTTTGGTTTTAGTCCTAGGTCTATGATCCATTTTGAATTGATTTTTGTGTATGGAGTGAGGTGTGGATCTTGTTTGAATTTTCTGCAGATAGTTTTCCAATTTTGCCAGCACCGTTTGTTAAAAATGCTGTTCATAATGGTTGCACTCTATTTCATCCAGAGTCAGAGGGGCCAGTGGCCACGATAGCTCTGGGCTCCTTCTAGAATTAGAAACCCATGTTTGAATTTTAACCACAGTGAAAACAAAGAGTGGATAACAGACATGCTTGGTGCTTTAGTAGACTAAAATAGGAGCCAGAAAAAATGTACTTTTAGCTTAAGAAGAACTATTCCTTGCTAGTGACCTTAGAAATGTCTTCAAACCGTATCAGGTCTTGCAATTTCTGCATCTAAAAAGTGAAGATGAAATAACTGCCTTATCAGAGTATAACTTATACATACATGTGTGATGAAAACTAAGTGTGACACACTTTGTAAGAAATTATGACTATTACCTTTTTCCTCTTCTTGGTCTTTGTGGCTTCCACTTTTGTTTCTTTTGGTGGTATCAAAAAGCATTCTTTAGCCTATAAAGAAATACAAAAAAGGAAACTTTGATTTAGTGTGATGAGATCAGCCACCAGTATAAATCCCTGAGTACCTTTTGCTAGGTATGTGTTCTTCAGAGTAGTTTAGTTAACATCTTTAGACAAAATAGTGCAGAGAGACCTCTTCTAGACTATTACCTAGGACATAGGCTGAGAAAAAGTCAGAGAGTGCAGATGAACCAGGACAGGAAAATCTCTGAACACTGGTTGAAATAAACGAGTGTGTCTATGTGCATTTGGGGTGGTAGTCTAGGGTATTCAAAATTAAAGAATATGGCCTGTTTATAAAGTAGAGGCAAAAATAGATTTGATGAAGACTAGGATGTGGTAAGAGCTTTTGACAAGAGTGATTGGAGTGTGCCACGAATTAGTTCCCTGTGATTCTGTATTTCACATCAATGTGTTTGGGTTTGTTGGATTTTTTAAAAAAATGTATTATGCATTTAAAAAATTATTTAAGAATTTCTGTGCCTTTTCAATAGACACAGGAAAGCTCACAGTAAAAACTCGTTGCTGTTGAGTTGTTTTTGAGCTGCTGTTAAGATGGTTTTGACCTTCCTTGGGTTTCAGAGGCTGTACATCTTAACCTGAGGAGATGGTTCATTTTTCTCCCTCAAATCACCAGAGGCACGTGGCCTTTTGGTTAGCAGCTCTGATGGCATAATCTGTACTATGTTGTGCTACTGACCAAAAGACTGTGCATCTCATGTGGAGTGAAGTAGCTCTGTCATATAAGGACAAATACTGCAGAAGACCACTATTGTGAAAATAGGAAGATCACTGAGCAAGATAGGTATAAATGTTCAAAAGGGGAAGGAGAAGGAGAAATGAAGGAAGAAAAAGAGAAAGAGGGGGGAAAATCACTGGGATAACAGAGGTTGGTGGGTGGAGGGGGTTAAGAAATAGGAAAGATTCAATGAGGACTTTTCAATGATATATTTTATTGCATTATGCAGATGACACAACCCTACTTGCTAAAACTGAGGAGGACCTGACGCGCTTGCTGCAGAGGGTCAAGGACTGTATCCTCCTATGTGGATTGAGGCTCAAGATCAAGAAGACAAAGATTCTCACTACTGGACCAATTGGCAGCATCAGGTGAAGAGACTGAGATTGTTCACAGCTTTAGTTTGCTTGGCTCCACAGTCAGCGCTCTTGGCACCAGCAGCCAGGAAATAAAAAAACATATTATGATGGAAAAGTCTGGTGTTAGGGACCTCTCCAAAGGACTGAAGAGCAATGGAGTCTCTCTGGAGACTAAGGTGTGTCTGATACAGGCCATGGTCTTTGCAGTCACTTGTTATGCATCAGAGAGTTGGACAATGACTAGGGAGGATAGAAGAAGAATTGATGCCTTCGAGCTGTGATGCTGGAGAATAGTATTGAGGGTACCATGGACTGCTAAGAAAACAAACAGATACATCCTGGAGAGGGTTAAAGCAGGCTGCTCCTTGGAGGCAAGGATTCTGAGGCTTCGTCTGAATACTTTGGACCTGTTGTAAGGAGGGACCGGTCCTTGGGGAGGGACATCGTGCTTGGGAGGTTGGAAGGACAGCACAGGAGGGGAAGGCCCTCTATGAGGTGGATTGATTCAGTGACTGGGGTAATCAGGATGGGTATATTGGAGACAGTGCAATTGGCACAGGACAGAGCAGAGTTTAGGGCTGTTGTACATAGGGTCGCTATGAGTCGTAAGTGACTCGACGGCACGTAACGACAACAACAATAATAACAGTAAAAACATGAATGATTAGATAAAATACAATGCGCATGGATGAAACACAATGTATATGAATGGTTGTATGTAAACTATTAGGGGGAAAAGGCTGTGCACCCCTGCTGGTTCAAATCCTCAGTGAAGGCTGGGCAGTATCTTCCTATTAAGATATGGAAACCAGTGGAGGGTCCATATAAAGCAGGATCAACTGAAGGAAAGTGAGTTTGTTCTTTTGTGTTTTTTAAAAATTATTTTTATAACTCCAGAAAATCTAAAGTCTGCTACATTTCCTTAGGTTTTTAGAAAACCAGATTAATCTACTGTGACTATAAAGTGAATATTTTGCTAATGATCTTGGTTAATACCAAGCAGAGTAACTTATTTTGTCTGTTGCCTTGACCCCTGAGTACCCCACAGAGTTTAGTGTTATTTTTATCCTGAAGGAACTTTCCCCCCTTTAATGTAGAAAAACAGGAAATATGGACCAAGACCTTGCTTTATAAAACAGAATGCCTAGGATTCCATGTTTATTAATCATAAGCAGCAATATAAAATGTTTCCTGTGCTGGACCTTTTATGTAACATCTTCAAACAAGTTGCCAAGATATAAAATGTAAAGTGAAAACATTCTGAGTTTTCCCTTGATTAAGTTTCCATTTCAAGTGGGGAGTACTCAGTTGAAGTTAGTAAGCTACTAACCAAAGCAATCTTGTCTCCTCTGGCTTTGTTTAAAATGATCACAGATGAATCTTTCTACTAAAGCTTGCAGACAGCCTTAAGAATGACCCTGGCCTGACGCCAGGGACAGACATAACACTACGTAATTTCTTCAAGACATGGGCCAGGTCTAACAGTTTCTAAACTGTTCAGATAGGAGAGAAGGGGATTGATTCTAAACATTCTGGATTAAAGTAATGTGGGACTCTTGAAATTTTGAACTCCTTTCAGTTAAAACAAAAACCTTGCAAAGGGCAACTACACAACATATTTAAAGAAAGATACGACCTAATTTCTTATTTAGAAAGTTAAGCTGCCTTTTAGAGTCGGATATGCCAATTTGGTGATGGTACATGCCAATTAGAAACTGGGCTATGGCCACTAATATGTCACAGAAGCTGCCAGAAAGCCGTAAGAGTCGAATTACAAATGAGGCCAACACTTAGCTCAAGCTCCTAAGGCGAAGGCCTGGATGCAATTAGCAGATATCCCCTAAGACACACTGCAGTATCTCATCACCAGTATCAAGGTCTTGGGAAGCAGAGTTAGAAAACGGTTCCATTTATTTGTACACAGAGTTGCTCTCTAGGAGTATGTTCAACTTGCTGGGTTACATTAAGTTTACAAAGCCAATTAACTCAAACTGTTACACAAATTAAACCTTGAAAAAAGCTCAGTTATAAGGACATAATTTTGGAAGAAAAATAGAAATGCAATTCTGAATAATACTCAAGAAAAAAAAAGAAACATGGTTAATGAACTGTTTGTTAAGATGGTGTATCAGATTTAAAAATGTTCGATTCAAATCATTAGTCTGTAAAGCGTGGGTGCTCTCTAGAAGTTACAATCAACCAGCCACTCCATGGCAGAAAGACAGGGAATCTACTCTCATGTGATTTCCTACTGTAGGGACAGCTATGTTCTGACAGGATAGCAGGGACTGAGATTGGAACCAGGTAACTTGTCCATCTAGTTGGGGTAGGATGCTAACGAAGATGTCAAGGTCATGGGACAAATTTCCACAGAGGTAATGTGGCTTCATAGAGAAATTCAAACTCATAGTATTGACAATTACTAAACTTAGCTGTCTTTTGAATGCTCTCAATGACCCTCGGAAAGCCTGGATAAGAAGATGCAGATGACTCAGACTACAGTATTAGCATTTCTGGAAATGAATTCTAACAGCATGAAACTTTGACAGTTCATAAGCAATGCCTCTTTATGTAGTAATTTAAAAACATGTTGGCTAAATAATTATACTTAAAAATTACCCCTTTACCCCCCCCCAAAAGTTTCAAAGGAAGTGATTGAGGCATGTCTCAATCCTTTAAGGTGCCAAAATTTATATCTTTAAAAATGATTCCCCTGGAATAACACGGCAAATCAATCTCAGAATCCCAATAAACTGAAAATAAAATTGAAAAATTATGTATTTACAAGGATTAAGAAACCAAGAAAAAGGATCATGACAGTGCAGAAATGTCCACTTTTTGGAAAAAGAAAAATGTCTAAAAATGAGCAACCTTGTAGTGAGAAAAAGCTAGAACCTGGGGTTTAGGAGCGGTAGAAGCAAACCAGTGAATCTGTTTGACCTGTCAGACTGAAAACAGTTCAATGCTTGCAGGCACATGGTATTACATACTGCAGTGGGCTGACAAGAAAGGGTCTAGCTGAAAGTTTAAACTTAAGAATAATTAATCCCTCACACTAAACTGTGTATTCTTTTCAGGCAGCCACACAACCATCTCAGGACTGCTTCATCCTACCCTGTTCTACTGAGCAGTAAACGGAAGGTTAATTCTCCAAGGAGGCGAAGAGGACCAAGAAATCATGCAGAGACAGGACAAAGACACATACCCATATTCTGACCTTGTTCCAAAATATCTAGAGCAGTCTTACATATTATAAGCAGGAGATTAGTGAATTCTCTGTAAAGAAGGAGGGTGGCCTGAGAAAATGTCTACAAGAGAATGAGCTCTGAGGATCCCCTAGAAAAATCGCAGCTTTTGATTCTATTACCCTCCCAAGAAGTCCACTGATTAACAAGCCATGCTCACATACAAAATATTTCTATCAACTTCTCAATGTATCTACTATATGAATAAACAGCCAAAGTTTGTCAGACATCTAAGGACAATCTCAAACATGAGAAAAAAAAATTTACAGCAACCAAACAAGCAAAAAGAAAGATAATTCAGCTAAAGTACTTAAAACCAATTATAATTAATGTCCTTAATGTACTCAGAGAGAGCTCTGGTGGTCTAGTGAGTACAAGAGTTGCATTGCCAATCCAAAGGTAGAAAGTTCAAACCCACTAGCTGCTTCAATGGAAAAAGATAAACCACCTCCTCCCATGTGATTTACAGTCTGAAAACGGCTGAAGAGTCAGCTAAGAGGTGGTTCTGACTTAAGTCAATGAGTTGAGACTGATTTTAAGATCCTCATGGAGATAACAGATTACATTTAAACATTTAAAGAAATAAGTGAGCTTGAATATAAACGTAAGAGTAAGGTCTGAAGATACAGCCATGGTGGTTAAGGAAGC